TATACATTGAAAACCATGAGTTCACACCAGTATCTCCAGTTCAGCATCACAGGGTTCACTCTGCATTTCCCTCTTCATATTTGTAACTTTCTTCTCTGACTGTAAAAAACCTGGCTCCCAGTATTCTCAATATATTTGCCACAGCCCTGCTAAAGCTACCTTTCTCTCAGGCCCTGATTTCTGTTGGGCTTGGCAGCCTTCCTGGTGCTAAGGGGCTCAGGGATGTTTTTGTTTCTGATAATGCTGAATGTTATTGAAGTACTTGGTCTTCTACCAACTCTTAGTATCTAACTGATGTATCAGAATCAGCAACTATTTTCGACAGCTATCTTGATTGTAGAGTGGTTTCTGGCAAGGTGCTAAGCATCTCTTAGTCCCCACAAATATGCCATGCTGTCATTATCTGTACCTGTGTTTTCTAAGGACTTTGTCTAGAAAAATCCTACTCATCCTTTTCATCTTCTTTTGTTTTGTTTTTGTTTTTGTTTTTTTGGTCTTTCCATATTGTTTTAAACATCCTTTCCTCAGTGGGGGATGAGGGAGGATTCCCTGATGTTTCTTGATTAGTACAAATTTTTCTTTGAGAGAAATTATTTAAAATCTGTTATGGTAATGGGCTTGTCCATATCTACTTACAGTGGCAGCAATTCCTGCTTTTATGTATTTTAAGGCTATATTTTATTTTTTATTTGTTCTATTTTATTTTATTTTTTATTTATTTATTTTCCCCCTAACGGGGGCACTGTGGATTAAACCCAGGACCTTGTGCACAGCAAGCATACGCTGTACCACTGAGCTATACCCCTACCCCCCAGATTCTTATGTGATATTTTCCTTTATGTTTTTCATAGTACTTTACATATGTGTAATTATATGCTTAATTATTTCTGATTCTTTGTTTGAAGTCTGTCTTCCACTTGGACTGTAATTTCCTCATGGGCAGGAAGAACAGCTGTGTTTTATCCTAAATGCTTAGTACAGAGTACTTGGCACATACAGTTTTCAAATATTTGTTGATCTACTGCTTTAATTATATATATATAACATACATCTATGATATTGCTTCTAAACGACGTAAAAGATGAAGAAGGTAAAGATACATCCACACTGCACAAGCGACATGCTGGTGATGGGGAATAGACACGCCAGTGGCTGCTAGCCGGCTTGTTACCAGACTTTACCTATAGGGGTTACACATGTGCATTGTGGCGTTGATCCTCCGTGTAGCCAAAGTATGTGTGATAATGGGTCCTGTTGTAATGCATTATGTTGGGATATGCATGCCATTTATATCAGGGTTCTTTGAGGCTGTCAGCTGGATGAGGGATTTAAAGCAACTTTGTATCTGGATTTTTAAAACATCTGGATCCTTTTAACAAGTATGGTTAGGCCTTCTCAGTTCCAAATCCATTGTCTATAAAGCATTCCAGTATTTCTTTTTATCTAGGGCACTTGTTTGAAAACTGGGATAAATTCTTGGTTGCGGTGTATAATTCTTTTTATACATTGTTGGATTTACTTTGCTAATATTTTGTTGAAGACTTTTACATCTATGTTCATAAGAGATATTGGTCTGTAGTTTTCTTACATCTCTGACTGGTTTTGGTATTAGGGTAATGCTGTCCTAGAATGAGTTAGGAAGTATTCCCTCTGCTTTTATCTTCTTAAAGATATTGAAGAGAATTGGTATAATTTCTTCCTTAAATGTTGGGTAGAATTCACAAGTGAACCCATCTTGGCCTGTTGCTTTCTGTTTTGGAAGGTTATTAATTATTGATTCAGTTTTAAAATAGATGTAGGTCTATTCTATTTCTTCTTGTGTGAGTTTTGGCAGATTGTGTCTTTCAAAGAATTGGTCCATTTCCTCTTGGTTATCAGAGTTGTGGGCACTAGAGTTGTCCACACAGAGGCTCCAGCATTTTATCAAGTACAGCTGAGGTTTTCCTACCCCATCACTGTTCCTGCAGCATTTTCTACTCATGAGCCTCTGCTCTGGTAAGCCACAACTCCCTGTATTCATCTCTCTGTCTCTCCAGACTTGGGGGCAGCAGTTTGGCCTGTGTTCCTCTCAGTCTGTTCAGCTTTTTACATGTTAGGGAGAGTGGCCACTTCCAAGCTCCTTACGTGCAAAACTGGAAACCAAAATTCTCTTTTTTTTCAACTTTTTAATTATAAAAAACATATAACATAAAATTTACCATCTTAACCATTTTATATACAGTTCAGTAGTGTTAACTACATTCACACCGTTGTGAAACCAATCTCTGGAACTTTTTTATCTCACAAAACTGAGACTCTGTACCCATTAAACAATATGTACCCATTCTCCCTTTCCTGACCCCTGGTAACCACCATTCTGCTTTCCATTTCTACTGACTACTTTAGATGCCAGAGATAAAGAGAATCATACAATATTGGTCTTATTGTAACTGGCTTATTTCACTTATCATAGTGTCTTGAAGATTAAGGACATGTTGTAGCAGATGACAGGATTTCTTCTCTTTCTAAAAGTTGAACACTATTTCATTGTATGTATGTCTTACATTCTGTTTATCCATTTATCTTTTGATGGACATTTGGGTTGCTTCCACCTCTTGGCTATTGTGAATAGTGCTGCTACAAACAGGGGCATACAATACCTCTTCAAAACCCTGCTTTAATTCTTTTGGAAGTGGGATTGCTGGGTCATAAGGTAGGTCTGTTTTTAATTTTTTGAGAAGCCATCATACTGTTTCCCATAGCGGTTCTACCACTTTATAATCCCACGAGGATTCCAGTTTCTCCACATTGTCACCGACACTTCTTGTCTATTTTCTTCTTCTTTTTCTTTTCTTTCTTTTTTTCTTTAATAGTAGCTATCCTAAAAGATGTGAGGTGATATCTTATTGTGGTTTTGATTTTCATTTCTCTAATGATTAGTAACGTTGAGTATCTTTCCATTTCTTTGTTGGCCATTTGTGTATCATCTTTGGAAGAATGTGTTCAAACTATTTGCCCGTGTTTATATGTTTCTTCTTTTCCTTATGCTTCTCCTTTCTTTAGCTGTTTTACCTTTTGTTGACTCTGCTTCTGGTTCTGCTTCCCCCGTTTTTCAACTTCTACTAAATTTTCTGCTTATCTTGCTTTCTCTGCATGTGCTGTTACTTTTTCCTGTACTCCATTTTGTAGCTGTTCTTCCTGTTGCTGACTCTGTCCCGGGTTTCTGCTTCCCCACTTTTCAGTATCTGCTTATTCTGCTGCTTTCCCCACCTCTGCTTCTCCTTTTTTCCTGTGCTTCTCCTTTCCACAGCTGTTTTTCCTATTGCTGACTCTGCCCCCAGCTTCTGCTTCCCCACTTTTCGGGATTTGCTGATTCTACTGCTTTTTCTGCCTGTGCTTCTCCTTTTCCCTGCGCTGTTCCTTTTTCTGTGCTTCTCCTTTCTGCAGCTGTTTTTCCTATTGCTGACTCTGCCCTCAATTCTGCTTCCCCACTTTTCAGTATCTGCTTATTCTGCTGCTTTTCCCACCTCTGCTTCTCCTTTTTTCCTGTGCTTCTCCTTTTCCCTGCGCTGCTCCTTTTTCTGCGCTTCTCCTTTCTGCAGCTGTTCTTCCTTTTCCTGACTCTGCCCCCATCTCTGCTCTCCCGTCTCAGTGTCTGCAGATTCTGCTGCTTTTTGTGACTCTGCTTCTTCTTTTTCCCTCTGCTTCTCCTTTTTCTGTTCTGCTCCTTTATCCTGTGCTGCTCCTTTTTCGGTACTTCTCCTTTCTGCAGCTGTTTTTCCTATTGCTGACTCTGCTCTCACTTCTGCTTCACCGCTTTTCAGTATCTGCTGATTCTGCTGCTTTTTGTGCCTCACTTCTCCTTTTTTCCTGGGCTTCTCCATTCTCCTGCACTTCTCCTTTTTCAATGCTTCTCCTTTCTGTGGCAGTTTTTCCTTTTGGTGATTCTGCCTCCGTCTCTGCTTTCCCCTGTCTCAGTGTCCACGGATTCTGTTGCTCTTTGTGCTTCTCCTGTCTTTCTGTGCTTCTCCTTTTCCAGGCTTCTCTTTTCTGCAGCTGTTTTTCCTTTGGTTGGCTCTGCCCCCATCTCTGCTTTCCCCAGTTTCAGTGTCTGCTGATTCTGCTGATTTATCTGCTGATTCCACCCCTGCATTTCCTTTTCCTGCTGATGCTTTTTGTTTTGCTCACTCTGCTTCTCTTTCTGCTAATGCTGGTTTCCCTTCTGCTACTTATGTGGCTCCTCTTGCCACTTTTACTTCTCCTTCTTGGTCGTCTACTTTTATATACATCATTTCTGACCTCCTTGTAACTTCACTTCTACATGACCCCCAGTGACTACTCCAACCTTGGCTTTGCTTTATGGCTCCACTCAGAACTGCTATCATGTCTCATTTTTTCAAGTTTAAATTACCTCCCACCTGGAAAAAAGGTAAAAGTATGTATTATGAAAGTCATGTACTGTGGCATAGATACCTGGTTAACCTGTGGGTTAGCTGTTACCTCAGGTGCTCTCCCGCGGAGCAGTCAGCCATGGCACAAGCTGAGGAGAAGGAACAGCAGGGAATCACATGGGACAGAACATGACCATTTAGAGGCACAGGGTCTGACAGTGACCCAGAGTTTTCGGAAGGAAATGTACCTGAGTGGCACTAATTGTCTCTTCTTCTGGAAGTGGATTGAGGAATGAGTGAGCGACAAGGCAGTAACATAGAGTAGGTTACTCTTTTTAGGAAGTTAGATGAAAAGCCACAAGGGAGCATGGAAGATTGTTACATAGCAATGTAGAATATTCCTGTCCAGGTAAGAGGGGAAGACCGGAAACAAACAAGAGAGAGAAGAACAGAGGGAGCCAAGTTTTGTAGCAAATGCAGTTGACTTTAAACGCACAAAATTGAAAGACTGGACACGATTGAAGGTGTGTTACCAAATCCTTTGAAACTAGAAGAAAGGAGGGAAAGTTGGCATTTTCCACTTTTATGATGCTGTTGATGCGTTTTATTTTTTTTTCCTTTCTATTGCAGGTCCTGAATCTCTGCCTCCTTCTCTTCTCAAAGTCGTGATGAAACCCATAGCAACTGTTGGAGAAAGCTACCAGTATCCTCCTGTGAACTGGGCCTCACTCCTCTCTCCACTTATGAGACTAAACTTTGGTAAATATTAAGTGTTTTTAGGTCTTCAGACTCTGCTTTCAGGATATGGCATAAATAGAAACTTAGATTGTGTATCACAGTTGCTAGTGACTGGAGGGACCTCTGGGATCTTGAAGTTTGTCTTCTTGGATAGGACAGCTGGTTACTTTCACTGAGTCACTTTCTAAATAGCTGAGGGTGAGGAGGAGGAGGAGGTCTGAAGACCCAGACCAGATGCACTCATCAAAACAATACTTGTTTGAGATGCGCATGTTGCTAGGTGTATGGTTTGATGGTTATTAAACTGCATGACCAGAATCCTAAGTTTCAAGGAAGTACCCTTTGGGATGCTGTTTGCTTTCTATTGCTGCTATAACAAATTACCACAGACTTAGTAGCTTGAAACAACTCAAATGTATTATCTTAAAGTTCTGTAGGTCAGAAGTCCAACATGCTTCTCACTGAGTTAAGATCAAGGTATTAGCAGAATGGTATTCCTTCCTAGATGCCTAGGAGAGTGCTGTGGTCTGAGTGTTTGCGTTTCCTCCAAATTCGTATGTTGAAGTCTTAACCCCAAGTGTCATCATTAGGAGACGGGGCCTTTGAGGGTGATTCAGTAATGGGGGTGGAGCCCTCATGAATGGGATTAGTGCCTTTATAAAAGTGGCCCCACTTCCACAGGGTGAGGACACAGTGAAAAGTCAGCAGCCTGCAACCTGAAAAGGGCTCCCACCACAACCTGACCATGCTGGCACCCTTATCTTGGACTTCCAGTCACCAGAACTATGAGAATGAAATTCCTATTGTTTATAAACCACTCAGTTTGTGGTATTTTGTTAAAGCTGTCCAAACAGACTAAGACAGATAGAATCCATTTCCCTCCCTTTTCCAGCTCCTGGAGTCTGCCCACATCCTTGGCTTGTGGCCCTGTTTCTCCATCTTCAAAGCAGACAGCAGAGGGCTGAGGCCTTCTCACACTGTCATTCCTCTGATTCTCTGAAGCCAGGAAAGGTTTTCCCTGTTTAAGGTTTCATGTGGTTAATGGGTCCATATGAATAATCCAGGATAATCCCCCCATCTCAAGGTTCTTAACCTTAATCACATCTGCACATATTCACAAGTTCCAGAGATCAGAATGTAGACATCTTTGGGGGCCATTATTCTGTTTACCACAGACTTTGTGGTGAGAGGCAAAGGGAATGCACACCTCAGTTTGTCCACAGCATTCTCTTTTATGGAGTAGGCATATTGGCATATGCAAATTTAACTTTGTGTACTTGCCCCACCTCCAAAAAAAAAAGGAGGGAGAACAAATTTAACAGTGCTATAAAAATGTGTATATATCTGTGTTTACCATGAGTGCTCTATTATTTACAATTGGTGCTTATTTACATATGATATACAGAAAGATTTGTATACTATAATTAACTTACAGTTTAAGAGATAAAGATGAGTTCAACTAAACACAGTTTTTCATTTGAATGCCTTCATTTGAATCCAGTCCTATATCAGATATGATGTGACTGTACTGTATTTCCGGAGATTTCATTTGAAAAATATGTTCTCCTGCCCCTCTCCTAATTTTGTGTGCTGGAAATGTTTGTTTTAGTAAAAACCCTTAGAAAAAAGAAAAGGTTTGGTTGGGAAAAATTTGTCTACTGTTGGAATCAGACAATTAAAAAGACTAGATCACTAGAGAATGTGGCTACATCTTCAAGTCCTTCTAGACCTAAATGTCTCTGTGCTGACTACAAGGTAGAGAAGAGGGAAAAACAGAGAGATTTTTAACTAGAATTTTCTCAAATGTTTGATAGTATTTGAGTGGTTAGGTTTCTCTAGATATCTTAAGAGAAATTTCCTGAGCTAATTCAAGACCCTTACCAGTTCCATGAGTCAGGACTCTGATCCAGTGTGTGCATTCTTTTGCTTCATAACTAAAAGATCTCTTGAAATACCTTTTGGATGGCTGAAGCCCTGTTACCTTTAGAAGTCCCACAGGCAGATATTTGATCTGAGACCCTGAAGCCTGAAAATGAGCCAGAGAGGCAGCTACATTACAGATATTTTTTTCCTTTCTTCTCCTTCAGGTGAAGAGATACAGCAGCTGTGTCTTGAAATTATGGTGACCCAGGCACAGTCATCCCAGAACGCAGCTGCACTGTTGGGAATGTGGGTGATACCACCGCTGATGGACGGTCTGAGTGTAGGTAGTAATTAAGGGTGTTGAGCAACAGGAGGATGTGGTTCTTTGCGGGGAGATCTACATTCATTTGGATGTGTGTTCTCAAAGTTGAGTGGACAAATGGGGTTTTACAAAATTTGAGGACTTGACAAAAGCTGGCCAGCAGATGGGAAAATCATGTGATTCAGGACTCTGCCATTGGCATCACCATTCATGCTTTCAGCTAACGTTTATTACCAAAAAAGAGAGAGAAAACGGCAATCAGAGATATTAAAGTTCCTTTCTCAAGATCATACAACTAGAAAGTTATAGTTATTGGAACCTGGTTTATTAGTTTATAGGATACACATGATCATTTTAGTAGGTATTGAGAGAAAGGCAAATCCACAGACACTGGATATATGATCCCTCCTGTTCACAGAAAAGGCAGCAATTAAGGTGAGCGTTGATGGCTTGATAGGATTTTGTTAGGCATCAAGTTAGAGAAACCAAGGGATGTAGGAGGGAGGGTGTAGGTGAAAAGATTAGAATGTCTCTGCCATGGTGTTCAGCTTGACAAGAAGTGATCCTAACCTGGCATTTGTGATGGAGGGAGGGGGCTGGCACCTTCCAGAGTATAGGCTAAGACAGGTGGGAAGAATGGGAGAAAATTGTCTAAAGATGTGAAATTGGTAAAGAGATATAATTTTGAGTAAATTTCAAGCTAGGACAAAAAAAAAACATACTGCATGATTCCTTAGAGATTTTCCAATTGATGATAAATTAAATAATCTCATCTTTGTTATTCCTCTATTCTAGAGGCTTTAATTCTTTGAGAACAGTGCAAAGCCATCTTTTATTTCCTTGGTCTGCTGGCTTCAGTCCCTAGCCTGCACTTCTTATTTTTAAACTTTCCTATATCTCATAATTCGTTTTAATTGAAGGTCAGTGTAATTGAGGTCCGCATCCTTTCTGTCAGTTGTTATCGTTACCTGTCTCCTCCAGGCAGCTCCCATCCAGCTGCCACTTAATGAGCACTTGCTATGTACCTGCTACTGGGAAGCACTCAGTACTTGCAGAAGTCAGATTTCATCTCTCTTCAACCCTGAAGGCCATTTTTTTCTACAAGATTATTGAGTTATATTCCATAAAATATGGCTATTTTAAGTGTACAATTTGATGAATCTTAGTACATTTATACATTTTCATCCATCACCAATATTTCTATCACCCCCTAAAATTCCATTGTGCCTGCTTATAGTTAATTCCCACTCCCAATCTCAGGCCCAGGGTATCACTGATCTTCTTGTCCCTCAAATTTTGCCTTTTTAGAAAAATTTTTTCGTACAGATTTAAATTTCACATATTTAAAATGGAATCACACAATATGAAGTCTTCTGTGTCTGGATTATTTCATTTCTGAGAAGTAGATTTTATTATTTCCATTTTACAGGTTGATAAACGGAGGCAAATGGAGGTTAAGCAAAGTCTACATAGTTAATAAATGGTAGAAGGAGTCTGGCTGACTCAAAAGCCTGTGTCTTAAACACTGTTCTTCCATTTGAATCAAGTACAACTCTAACAGCCTGTTTTTTTACCTCAGAAATTTTTCTACATTTTAGTTATCCCTCCACTTCTTTTTTATCTCTCCTTTTTTTGCATTTGTCCTTGATTTTGAACCTTTCTTATTATCTTTGTTAATTAATAAACTAAGTTGTAGATTCATTTTTTCAGTTGTGTACCTTCTTATTTAAAAAACAATGTGAAGTAACATGTTCTTTAAAGCGAAGGCTTCTGATAATCCGTGCTCCTACATTGATCTTTTTTGAAGTTGGCTGATTTTTGTCAGATTTTATTTTTTAAAGCACTTCTTTTTGACTTGCTGCTCCTTTAGTATCATACTTCAGTTTCTAAGAATTGTTGAAGCCTGCTTTCTTCAAGTCTACGGCACACAGCTATCATTAACCACGCCTCTTCTTAGCTCTCCTGCACGCTAAGATGCATGGTCAGCTCCACATGCTCTGCTGTTTCTTCTTTGGTCAGAAATGGCCTGAGAATGCCAGTTCCCCTCATTATTTCTTTTCTGCTTCCTCCAAAGAAGAAAGGAATGATATCAGATACTCTGTTTAGTTGATTTCCAGCAGTTGAGCCTTCATCTTCAGGAGCTTTTCTTGCCAGAGAACGTGACCTTTTAAGACTGAATAGCAACTGTCATGTACTTTTAGAAGTAGCATTTTATTCCCCTTGCTGAAAAAAATCCAAGGTTTAAGATGAGTAGTTCACAGATGGCTTGGCAGATAGCGTATATCTACATGAGTCACCCTGGATCAAAAGTCACTGCTGCAGCTAAAATTACATGCATCGGTGGCCCATTGGACCATGACGCTGTGGGGAAATGAGGGGCCAGGAAGCAACCTGAACCCTTTATCTTCCAGTCTACCCTCAAACACAGTGATGACCTATAGGTTTTGAGCTGTACAAACCCAGACCTCTTCTGTTTACATCTGACCTCTTCTATTTTGCTTTCAGCTGAATATCAAGAAGTATCTCCTGGCATCTGTGCCTCTGTGGATAAAACATGTCTCTGATGAACAAATCATGGGTTTTGTTGAAAGCTTAATGGTGGCAGTTTTTAAAGCAGCCTCCCCACTTTCCAGTCCTGAGTTACGCCCCAGTGCCTTACAGGGTCTGAGCCAGGCCATGAAACTGCCCAGCCCTACCCACCACCTCTGGAGTCTACTCAGCGAAGCTACTGGGAAAATTTTTGACCTTCTGCCAAATAAGATTCGGGTGAGAAACAAAAATATTTACATTCCTGACAATTTATGTTTGGGATTTTTTAAAGCCTTTTTGGCAAAGCGGGGAAGTGTATGTTTTAAGAATGTGGTGGGAAGGCTAGCAAGAAATAATCACATTCTTCACTAAGAATGTGTTTGCTTCCAAGATCTAAATTGAGGTTGAATATTTAGAACCAAAGTTTTGAGCAAGCTCAGAAGCAGGTTAACCAGTGCAGCCCCAGGAGATTTGCTCTTAGACCTTTTATACCGAATGTCTGTAGAAGATGAGCAGGCTCAGAACCCCTTACACTGTACTCTTGGAGAATCCTTGGCATGTTGTCTGTCCCATACGCTATTTGTATCAAGTGACTTAATACTAGCCTTGCCCCTCCCCCAACAGACCTCTGAAATGTAGTTTTACAAAGAAGTTAAAACTGCATTGGGAATGATGGATTCTGATAAGGAGAAAAAAGTATAGCCAAACAAAGTATATAAAATAACAGGAAAGATTTTTTTTTAAATGATAAAAATTGGTCATGTGTTTTGGTTTGGATAAAATTAAAATCTCATCAGCTGCTGCTCATGGAGATAAGCACATATAATGATTTGCCAGAATATAGAGAATATACTTGTTATCTTACACTGAATTTTGACATGCTTGGGATTTTTCTTTACCAGAGAAACGATCTAGAGCTGTATATCACTGTAGCAAAGTGCCTCTCGGAAATGACGGACGATGAAGCCAGTCGGGTTGCCCAGATTACGAAGGTAATAACGTACCTATGTTCTTTTTATTATTGATATGGAAATTACCATTGAAGAGATGATTAGAGTATCCTTCTTGCCAAAGCTGTCTTTGCTTCATATTTGTTACTGGCTAACTTCAGGAAAACTCTCTCTGTTTCACCGTGGGATCTCGTATCCAGCCTAGTCATATAGTTGGGTATGTGGCAGTGTAGACGGATAGATGAGTAAATAAATTTTTAACCTTATTAATTCCACTTTGTCAAGAACACTTTTAGCGTTACCTGTGGGCAAAAATAAGTACAGGACAACATCCTCAACACAAAATCCACAAGAATGGTAATATTCTGGGCAAAGCACTTTCTGGTGCATAGAAAGTTTAAATAAATAGTTCTGTTCTCACATTTATTTTCCTTCACCCGATACTGATCCTTTTGGAATGAAGAAAGGTGGCTGAGTGAAAAACACTATTATCACTGACACAAGATAATTAATAAGCACCTCTTACACCCACATCCAGTCAAAGGGCAAATAAGCAAAAACTAGCATAAGAGGGAAGTTGCCAGATTTAGAATATAATACAAGATATCTTGTTAAATTTGAATTGCAGAGAAAACATGAATAATCTTTTAGAATAAGTGAATCCCAATGGACCTACTTATTCAAATGGCATCCCTGCATATCAGGTAATACCAAAGGTCTAGAGAACTGTGAGCCGTCACATTGCTGTTGGTCATCATATCATTCATTTCATTATATGGTAGGTTTGCCTGTTAAGTTGAATCCTTGAATTCTCTGCATTGTGTAGCTGTGATTCTCAAAATATGGCCCCTGGACCTGCAGCATCAGCCTGGCAACTGATTAGAAATGAAAATTCTCAAGGGAGGATATAGCTCAGTGGTAGAGTGCGTGCTTAGCATGCACAAGGTCCTGGATTCAAGCCCCAGTGCCTCCTAAATAAATAAACAAATAAATACATCTAATTACCTACCCTCCATAAAAAAAAAACTTTAAAAAATAGAAATGAAAATTCTGGAGTCTCACTTCAGACCTACTCAATTGGAAACTCTAAAGGGAGGCCCAGTAGTCTGTGTTTTCACAGTCCCTCCAGGTGATTGCAGTGCATCCTAAGCTTTGAGAACCACTGTTAGAATGTTTGGGATATCAGTGTTTTGGAGATTCGTTGGTTTTAAGCAAGGATAAGAAGTATAAGGAAATGCTTGAGAGAATGGACTCTGGAGCCTCACAGGCGAGATGTGAAATCCAGTCTCTGATTTTCTAGCAATGTGACCTCTCTCTGCCTCAGTCTCCTCATCTATAAAAGGGAGATAATAGCACCTCCCTATTAGGGCTGTTTTGAGTGTTGAATGACTTAAGTTAAATGACTCAATTCAAGTTAAGTTCTTGGAAGAGTGCCAGACCTAAGGCAAGTGCTCATTTATAACTTATTATCCTAATTACTACACTCATATAATTTATTATATCCTACTATTATATTCAGGTTATATAGTTGGAAGTAATTAATATAATTTACTTCATGGTACCTAGAGCTAAAGGTTGTTGGGTTACTCATTTGGGTTTCTAAAGTGGCATTCAGAGCATTGTCCCTAGAACATTCTAAATGGTGTTCTGATGTCCCCAAAAGAGTTAATGTGTTCTGCGGAGGCCAGTGTATTCTACTCATTTCTGGAAAGAAGAGAGGTAAGAAGAAGGCAGTGGTAAAGAGCTCAGAGTTCCTGGGTTTCAGTTCTTACTCTGTGTGGCATTAAGCAAGTTACCTAACCTCTGTGCTTGTCTCCTCGTCTGTACAGGAGAGATGATAATAGCGATCTGTTACACAAGCTTAGTGTGAGGGTTAAATGATCAATACAGTGGCCCTCAGACTTGTTGGTCTCAGATCCACTTTAGTGTCTTAAAAATTGTTGAGGACTCCGAAGAGCTTTTATTTATACGGGTTGTATCTGTCAGTATTTACCATATTAGAAATGTAAAACTAGGAAGTTTTTTAAAATATTTACTTAGAAAGTAATAATAGTAAACCCATTGCATCTTAACATAAATAAGAAAAAAATATTTTCCAAAAAGCAAATTAGTGAGAAAAGTGGCATTGTTTTACACTGTTGCAAATCTAATGTCTGGCTTAATGGAAGCCAGCTGGATTCTCATAGCTGCTGCGTCATTCAGTCTGTTGTGATGTTGTCTTGGTGAAGTATATGAACAAAACCCAGCTTCACACAGATACGTAGGTGGAATGGGGACGTCTGTTAAGTCTTTTCAAGCAATTGTGGATATCTTTCTTTGATATTGTGCCAAAACTCAACAAGTGCTAGTTTCTTAGAGGTTAGTTGCCCTGTGGAATCTGAAACCGTATCAGTGAAGTTCGCAGACTCTGTTACATTAAGATCCATTGGTCCCTTGTACTCTGGGTCTTTACCAATGTATGAGTTTGTAAAATACTGTAAGATTTGTAAGATAGGTTGGTCATTTGTAAAATATTGAGTCACTGTGTTTTGAAAATCTTCCAAATGTTGGTACATTTTTAAATCATAACATCGTATTTGTCAATCTGACTAGCAATCTCATCAGAAAAGTCTTTTATGTATTGGGAAGCTGCCAGAGTCATAGTAGCAGATACAAATTTTCCAAAAATATAATTTTCACTTAAAGGCTTAGATTTTATTATTGGCAATAAATCCTGTCAAGTAATTTCCTTGAAGTGACATTCTCACTTCCTTCACTTTTAAAAAGCAATCTCATACTCAGTTTGCATAACCATAGTTTGTCCATCAATCATTCTTTCAAGTAAATGGCGTTCCATGAGAAGAGTGGCTGTTGCAGTTCACAACTCTGTCTTCCAAGTGTTTTTCCTTGAGATGACCGTCACACTTGGGGGTGCAGCAGAAGTCCTTTGTTCATACTTCCCATTTTGTCATACAGAATATTAAAAAGATGTGTACTCAAGGGCAGAGGTTTAACGAAACTAATAATTTTTATTATTTACAAGGATATTTTAAATGCAACTAGCTTTTTTTAAAATTGCAATTGTCAATGAAAAATACAATGAATATTACCGCAGTTCAGGGCCTATTATGAATATAGTTTGACCTCACAGACCCTCTAAAAGGGTCTTGGGGTCCTCCAGAGAGCTGTGTACCACACTTTTAAAGTGCCAAATTAACACACGTTAAGTGCTTAGAATGGTGCCTCGCACATAAGTACTGTATTTATTAGTTACCATTGTTATTAGTATTGTTTGTGTATCTTTACTAAATATCCTCACCAATTAACCCCTGAAATCATTTATGGTTTTCATGAGAAAACAGGAGATGACATTACAACCATCTATCTGTATGTACATTTTAATATAGCATGCAGGTCACAGGCTGCAGGAAATGAACAGTTTTAGCATTTGGAATGGTAATCAACTTCAAACTCACCCTTTCTGTTTTGCCCTTGCCCCGAGGTTCTATAATGACTTCAGTTAATTTAATAGTAACTGAACAATTTGCTTTTTTGCAGAGTAGCGTAGAAAAGGGTGCCTTTGTCAGACTGTACTTGGTCTCTCAAGGACGATTCCCCTTGATGGGGTTGACCGATGTGCTCAGCGTTGCTGTTCAGCACCGTGAAAAAGACACACTGGCCTGGATGATGCTGCACTGTTTATACCAGGCACGGATTGTGAGCCACACCAACACAGGTCAGGCCAGCGTGGGGCGAACAACAGGAGCACAAACATGCACCTGCTGTCTCTTTTGGGTTATAATTGTTTCCTCAACTTAAAAAAAACTACTTCAGTGCTTCTTGACACATGTGGGGCCTTCTTACCCCAAATATTTGAGGAGCACCTTGGATAGAAACGAGCAGTTACAGCTCACAACATCAACTCTTTGGAGATGGGAATGAATTCTATTGGTGATTTTTTTCTTGTATTTGGCCCTCCAGGCCCTCAGAGGTATAAAGAAGTTTATCTGGTTGATTCTGCCTGTTTCCATTTCTCAAACAGAGGGATGTTGATTGATTTCTGCCTGATGTTTTCATGAAAATGGTTTCTGGCTGGTCATTTAGCAAAGAGGAAAAGAAAGCAGCAACAACAAATTAGTTATTCTGTAGAAGAACTTCTCAGGGGTAAGAAGAATAAACTCTGGACATGGATAAATCTTCCAGCCAGAAGCTCCAGGTGTGAAGCTCTTCTAATGAATGGTGCAACTTTTAGACCATTTGAGACATTTACACCTGAATAATCATCTAAAAAGGGTGCACCCTCATTTCCCTTCCCATACCTGTGGTCATATGCCTGTAACTTCTCAGTCTACATTCAGGTCCCGAATGGCACCTGGCTTAAGCGGATCCGAGGTGACTGGACAGCACTTGTGACCTGTCTCTCCAGTCTTTTGTATCTTTAAGGCTTTGAGAGAAAAACTGCCAAATATAATTGTAATACTCTTTGCAGGATTATATAGGAAATTTTGATTCCTCCTGCTCTTTGGCACCTGAGCTGGTTGTCTCATATCTGCATAAATGCCTGCCCAATGAAAAGTGAACCTGTGATGAGAAACTTGATTTTTCACTCTAACTCAAAAGTGTATGTATCAGGACAAAAATTAGCAGGTATTCCCAATTAAGCATGAAGCTACATGAAGGATACGGAAATAAATTTGGTTTTCACTAGCTAGCCTTCAAATTTAGTTCCCATTTTCCTCTCATTTTGAAGAACTTCACAAGTAGTCTTTGCTACTGGGAATCCTCATTTTAAAAAAAGGGAAAAATCAATATTTTTGCTGATGTTTGTTTATTCTCCAGTTACCCTGTAATAGCTAGGTTTTATTTTTCTTTTTATGTCTTTAGGATAGGTTTTCTCTGTGATTTTGGCATAAACTGGGAACATTTAAGCAAGGGAGGACTGTAAAAAACAACTAATTATTGAAGATTGAACATTACTAGCTAGATGGCATGCCAGAAGTCTCCTAGTGTGTTTAATGTTGAGAAACTGCAGTAAATGCATTTGACCATTTTATCACAGGTTTGAAGAATAAATTAACTTAAAAAAAAAAAGACCAAAATATGCAGAAATGCTGGGTCATTTGACGTGAATAGTATCAAAGAATGCTCTCACGGGGGAGCACAAGTCTCAGGCAGGTATCGGAAGAGGACTTGAAACTGTCGCATGGAATCCTCGCCAGGTGTTGTGCTGTAGTTTTGATGGTTATCACTGATCTGTTTGACGTTGCAGAGAACCATGGTCTGGTAAGAAAATGTCATATCCTTTTGTTCCAGGTGTGTTGAAGAGAATGGAGTGGCTCTTGGAGCTGATGGGTTATATTAGGAGTGTTGCTTACCGATCAGCATCTGTTCAGAACGTGGCTCTTGATGAGGTACAATCTAGAGGACTCCTTCATGGCTTCCTTCAAATGTCAAAAGAGGAATATGTTGCTGCTTGCAGCTTTCCTTCCTTCCTTCCTTCCTTCCTTCCTTCCTTCCTTCCTTCCTTCTTTCCTTCCTTCCTTCCTTCCTTCCTTCCTTCATTTTTGGGAAACAAGTATGACAACTCTCTGAGGTCACAAGGAAATGGGTTTTCTCACCAGGTCCTTGGAGACACCCACAGCTGCCCTTTGAAAAATATTTTCAACAGAACATGTTCCTTGACAGGCAGGCACACCAAGGACACTAGCTTGAGAGGGAACCTAGGGTCCTGTGTACTTGGGCTGGATCCCACGAAGATTGTGGGGTACAGGGTTCTGGTCTCCACACTGGCCCAGAGCATGACTTCAGACACCTGCTTTGAAGGGGTTCCTGACGTGTATGCCAGTCATCTGTGCTTGTGCCAGCACTTACATGCACACATTGCAGGGGAATTTTCATCCCTCCTGCAGAATGACTTGTGACCCAAAAAAGGTTAGCAACAGCTGGTATTGGGTGAGTAAAAAAAAAAAGATTAATAAATAAAATGAAGGACAGCACTTTCTTGCCCTCCTCATTTTCTTGGCTCAGCTGCCCACTGTGCAAATTTTTAGCACTTTTCTCTAGCCGTGTTTCATGGGTCTCTGGTTTACTATGTGAGTAAAATATGCATAACTTGAGATGTCTGATATTCTGCCCAGCATTTCTGCAGAGTTATGTGTCTTTTTGAAATTTTAATTTGTGAGATTAGGAATTTTAAGAGTTTGAGGAGAACTTTTTAAACTTTTTGGGGAGAGCTGGCATAATCTGTCCTCTTTTTCTTATGCTCTCCCAAGTTTGTATTAACCTTCTCTACTTCCTTACAAAAATCCTTTAAAACTTAGAAAATATGGATGAGCAGAAAGCAGCATAATTTAAATCATGGTAATATAACTCCTCAGAGGTAGCCCTTGTTACCACTATTTCTACAAGTGTCTAGTCTAAAATCTAAGTAGATGGATTCTAAACAGATTTTTTAATGAAGGTAGTCATTTGTTATTGTTTTTGTTCAAAAATGGACTCAGACTGTACACATTTTATTTTAAAAAATCAGTTTTGGCCACATAACAATAAACCTAAATATCCCTAACCGTGTGTCTCTTAATAAATTTTTAAATCTCTTTGAAAACACCGAAACAGAGGAACGTTTGGATCTCAGTATGATTAGGCATTAAATCAATTATGTTTCTCCTGAAATATTAGAGCAATAAAAATGAAACCATTGGGCCTTCTGTCCTCACAAAAGAGAATCCTTCAAACCTTCCAAACCCCAAAAGTTCTCTCCATTAAGCATGGAAATGGAGTTTGCTATTCAGTCCAGTTCCTCTCCTGGGGTAGGGGTGGGGCAGGAGACAGGGTGGGGTGGAGGGGAAAATAACATTGCATTGTGATGGGGGCTATATATGTGAACATGCATTACTTTGAATTGTTAAACATGTGCCCTAACTTTGTTTCCACTTCTACCGTAGGCTTTGGATTTCTTGTTGCTGGTATTCACAGCTGCAGTGGTTGCCTGGGCAGACCACGCTGCCCCTCTCCTTCTTGGCCTCAGTGCCAGCTGGTTGCCATGGCATGGAGCACATGGCCCGGCAGGGCCAGCATCAGGCTTCCTTGGCAGGAGCCCACTGCACAAGGTCACTCTGCAGGAGACTCTCACTCTCCTTCCCAGTAGCATGCTGCTGCTTCTGCAGAAAGAGCCATGGAAGGAACAGACCCAGAAGGTAGGGTTGGCAGCCACCTGCTTATTAGGGCAGGCGGCCATTTTCTCTTCAGCAGTTTCTGCAGTAGAATTGAGGTGGGAGTTAAGTGAAACTGCAGTCCCACTACAGGCTTTCCTACTCAGCCCCAAATCTCAGCCAGATGCAGAGCTTCAGAGACTGAGGCTAGCCCAGTCTCAGGGTAACTGCTGGCTGAAAACAATAGCTTGCTTACAGTTAGGGATGAGGTGTAAAGAAAAACTTAAACTTGCCTTCATTTATTGAAGGCACATGTGTCCTTGATCCTGGGGATAAAAGGATGAGAAACTCTCTGAGTTCAGAATTTCAGAGTGAAGACATATGGGAAGGCACGTTCAAAATGGAGAGATGGTCTGATAAGGATACAGTGGTGATGAGCAAGGGAGAGGGGTGGTCAACAGTGCCTGGGGGTGAGTCCAAGGGAAGAGATGTGAATCTGGAATGCCCATCTTTTACCATATTTAAGGTTGCCCACCATTCATTCCATGCTGTAGCCATGTTCCAGGTGCCCAGCGTGCCTCTGGCCTATGCTAGATACAGTGGGGGGATTTGTAAAGGTCTAATGTCATCACCTTTGCCCTCAGGAAAATCTAAACTATAGGTAGCACCTTTTGGTTTTTAATACTGAGTTTCCCCAGACGACTAGCTGTCGTGCAGAGCATATGAAAATACGGTGCATCCTGTGTTTCTCATTGCATGGCTCTGACATGTCTTGAATTCAGTCAATTGAAAGATTTTTTTGAATCCCATTTAATCAAAACTGGATTTTTATGAGGTTGAAAGCTTAAAGCCAGCTTTTTGTGGCTTACCCTTAAAATCTGAACATTAATCTTTAAAAATATTTCTGAACTATGGACCCACAGTTTAGCCATGAACAACTCCACTGAGTCTCAATTTAAATGCCTTTGTTTCCTTAAATCTGATAAGCATTTGTATTATTGCCCCAATTTTGTGTTTTCTTTTTCATTTTTAATGAAAATAAATTTAAATGTGGTATCCCACCCCATCCCCTCATATTATTTCTGGCCTGGGATCCTCTGTTCAGTTTGGACTATAATATAGACATTCTCCATCTATTATAAATTTGTAGTCCTTGATTTATTTACTTACCATTAGGCTATGATAAAACAAAATTAAGAAAAAAAGATAAAGAAAAAAGTTTAATTAAAGCAAGAAATTAAGAATATTTCTTTTCCTCTCTTTTACTCTTTCTTCAACCCATCTTCTAAGTCCAAAGTTAAAAGGGCTGGTACCTATGACTAGTATATGTGTTTTTAAATGAGTCAAGATTGGCAACATTCAGTCAAAGAAATTACCCTGTATCTAATTCAAACACAATTTGGCTGCACCCTGGGAGATCAAACTCATGAGTACTAGGAGTTTCTACCCACTTTGCAGGATTTATTTGCAGTTAACATGCTTGGGTCTACCTAGTAAATTGCTTTATGTCTTTACTCTTGCATTTCAACTTTGTTTCATATCCATTTGGGCACAAACTGTTCTCATCTACAGAAACATATTTTATTTTAGAAACAGGGGCTTACATCTGATGTGTTTCCCTATTTATTGCCCAGGCCCGATGCACACGGAAACAGGCGGCAGGCAGCAGGCAGCATGATGTGAAGAGTGTGAGGCTTTGAAGCCTGGTGTACTTGGGGTCAAATCTTGACTCTGCCATTCACTGGGAAGAGCCTTGGGCAAGGTTCTTAACCTCTCTGGGCCTCTCAGAGTGATGAGAGAATATACATGGCATATAGGAAGCCCTCTGGGTCCATCTCTACCCTACTTTTAAAACCTATAGCAAGTCCCAGGGTATTCAGCAGAGGAAAGAGGTTTGATTTTGCTGAGTCATTTTTGTTTCCAACTTTACCATCTCTTGTGCCTGCTCCCGGTCTCCTCTCCACCCTCCCAGCCCAGGCAGGTATTGTCCAGGGACTACCACCCTGCTACTCATACATGCAAGCCCAAGGATGTGCATGACCTTTTACTGTTAACAAGATCGTGTTCACTGATACTGTTCTTCATTTTCACCCTAGTTCATTGACTGGCTATTCAGTATCATGGAAAGCCCTAAAGAAGGCCTCTCAACAAAATCCAGGGATCTTTTAAAAGGTATTACCGCCATGCTTTATGCCCATCGTAGTGAAAACCACCTAATGTCTGTGCTGCAGAACAGCTCTCTAGTGTGTGCTGGCTCCTGAAAGGGCTCATCTTGGTTCAATTGAAAGAAATAATCTGAAGCTGTCACCAGTGTGGCATTTTTAATTAGAAAGTGGGTTTAAAAGAGAATTCCATTGCCTTTAAATTTAACTTTTATTTAAATGGTTTTTAAATGTTTTATTATAATCATAAAATATGACTTTAATTAAAATTTAGAAAATTCATAAAAGTAAAAAGAATAAACAAAGAGGAATCCAGAATCCCATTGCCCAATGACAATTTTGTTTTGCCTAAGTTTTTGCCACCCCCCTGGGTGTATGAGTGTTGTTTTAACATATGTATAATCATATACAACTGAAAAAATGTACATATACTTTTTTAATTTAAAATTATTTTTTAAAGCATTTTAACCTGTTCTTACACTGGCTTTGTAAGCAGCATTTTTAACAGCTGCATAGTATACTGCTAAGGGAATTGGATATTTACTATGCTTCCAGGCATTTAGGTGGTTTTCATGTTTTTTATACATCTCTACTGACTTTGTTGAACAATAACTGTAATATCTACAAATATAGACAGTCTTTCTCTCAAAATTATGTAGTTTTTAAACTCAAACCTGAAAAGTCTTCCGGGCCTTGGCTCTGTGCCCGGAGATGGCTTGTACTGTCATCCACATCTTGGGACTTGGGGTCTGGTTCCTACCCGTGGCTGCTGTTGATTGCCCTGACAGTTGCTGTAAGTTACCACACTGGAAAGTCTCACTTTGGGAAAGTTGTCTGCTGGCCGACTCTGCTGAAAATTGACCATATTTTACTTTTAAGTGTGCTATCATTTATTGAGTGCCTAACAAGCAAGAATTCCCTAATGTATTGGTTCTGATCCTTCTCCCTACCTCCAAAGTGGCTGGGAAGGCATGCATAAGAAGGTGATTCTGATCAACCACAGAACTTCACCGAGAATCAGGGCAGTGGTCCAACATACTTTCACTTGGCCCTTCCCTAGAGATTTGCTGCTAGAATCTCCTCCATTTGTTTTCCTTGGGAAGTTTGGACTCTTTTTTTTTGGTATCATTTGTATTTCAGTTGGTCTGGAGATAATGAGACTAGAGACAACATCTAATATACTTGAAGATTGTATTAGATGAAAGGCAGGTCATTTGGTACACTAAAATGCTGTTAATGTGATTTGTTCACAATCTTTCTATTTTGTTACAGCCGGGCGGACTCATTTTTAATAGTCATGAGTCCATTATACCATTGGTTGTTCCAAGCATATACTGTCTTGGGTCATGAAGAGAGTAATTGATACTGATGAGGAAACTGGTTATTTGGGTCAAAGAAGTACATGTTCACTTGATTCAAGTGCTCCTAAGAGTCACACAGAATAATTGTGTGACTCTAGCTTACCTTTATCCCTTCACCCTATTATATTTTAAATAACATCTCAATATATTTATCTTAGTATTCTAAAAAAGATATATGTTACCTAGAGGGATTACACATGACTGCCCTACTTGAAGTTGATTCCTGAGGGACCTATGACAGATGAGAAAAGGTGTATGTTCAAATATAGTTTAGTGCAGTCATGCTTGCTCCATTGAGGCCATGAATGTAACTTCATTACAGAATCAGGTTTTATGTTTTTGCTTACCATGTAAACTAAACATTTAGTGGAAAAATCATATTCATGTAGAAAAGTGCAGAAGTCATAAGCAGGATTTTTATAAAGGGAACACGTAGTCAGCACCCAGATAAAGAAAAAGAATATCACCAGCATCCCAGAAGTCAGTTTTTGTTTCAATTCTGCAGAATTTTCCATTAACTGGTTGCAAAGTAACTTTAAAAAAAAACCCACCTTTTCCTCAACTTGGATTATTTTCTTCCATTAAAATTCTGTCTAAGGCTTGATGGGAACTCTTAGTCTTCAAGACTAGCCAAGTGAGAACATGTCAAGTTCTGTTCTGACACCTTTTTGATTTAAATGACCTTTTCGAATGCAGCTCCACCAAATGCAACAGTGCACTTTATTCTCTGTCCCCTTAGCCACCCTGCTGTCGCTGAGAATTCTCCCAGAGTTTAAGAAGAAAGCCATATGGACCAGAGCGTACAGTTGGTGAACAGTTTGGCGGTAGCTGGCAGCATTCTCAGCTGGATGAGGAAAACCATACAGACAGAAGGAATATTTCAGAATTCATGTCTGGGATTACTGAGACATGATGCAGACAGCTGACGGTACTAAAAGGGTGGCCACATAACAGACACCTTGAACCAGGCATGCCAGGAGTGGGGCTGTTGCTTCGGTACCTGGGCCAGTTGGAGATTGAGATAAGAACTTGAATTTTCTTTTATTTGGCTAGAGTTCAATCTGAAGATTTTCTTTGTGAAAATTTGACTATATCATCTCCTCCCCTCTAAATTCTAGTAAAATAATCTTGTGCATTTTGTGCATGTGACTTTTATTTGTTTTAAGGCATGGGTAAGGTTTTGCTAGCAAAACCAAACTATAGTGATGACAGTCGAAACTGCTCTGTTTCCCAGGAAGTCTCTAAAGGATATTGATTGACTCAGTGAGTTAGTGTTTTAGCAATAATAAGAAAACATGTCTCTCGTGGAACTGCTATACACATTGAAATAATAAGCATGGTGTTAAACATTGACTAAGTCAGACTCATTAGTGGTGGCCGTAATTTTCTTTTGCTTGGATCTCTTGAATGCAAGTGAAAGTTATCCAATTCAAAAGATATCTTTGCTCATAGGTATGGCAGAAGCAACATGGGGTGGAGTCTGGTTCAGCACTGGTCACGTGAGTCCCTGGAGGGTGGTGACTAACGATCCAGGCCTGGGTCGTATGTCCATCCACCTGAACTGGGCTCCCCCTAGAAGAAAGATGGTGCGATGCTAGACAAGCAAAAAATGGCAGATATCTCCTGAAAATATCAATCTTTTTTTTTTATAAGTACAAATCTCTGTCTTAATCAAGGAGACTACTGACCTAATGCCAAGTAAATGAAGGAATGAGGCAGTATCCTCAAGGGTTGCATTTTACTCAGGGGCTTGGAATCAGCTAGGAATTTAATTTGCTCTGATTGCTAATAATTGCTCCCTCATACAGGCAGTAATCAGGGCTGTCTTTAGCCAATCACACAAACATACTGATGCATATACATATATGGGATTACTAGGGAGAAAATGTGTGCCACTGGAATAATACACCTTTGTATCTGTCATGCCTGGTACCTTACAAGCACCATGGAACTTTCAGTATTTCCTAGTGACATGTACCCTCATTTTGTCACCAAGTGTACTTACTACTTAGGTTAAAATAGCTCTACTAATTTTATTTTCCAAATATATGAATTTATGATTCCAGGTTTCAATTATTTGTGGTTCACTGTGTAATTCACACTCTGTTTCCAGGTCGCAGCTCTTTCTTTTGCTGAACTCCATAGGGTGCCAAGATGCTTACAGAAAAGGGGGAAGGAAAGGCGAGCTCTCAGGTAGTACTTAACTGCATCACCAGTATTTCATCTCTCTTACTTCCTTAGAGGCTAGGCTGGAAGGAAATGAGTTTGAAGGAAGCAGAAAGATAGAAAATTTATGTGAAAAGCCAGATTCCCTCTCCTTCCTACCCACCTAGGCTTTCTCATACTTCCTACCAATCAGAGGTTGAAATCCTTCTAACATTTATTGTTAGGTGCTAGACCGTAAGTGATGAGTTTCACTTCTATTACCTTATTTAACCCTTGCAACAATACTGTGAAGATGAATTATTTTCTATTTTAAAATGGAGAAAACACATCTAATAAGTGGCAAAGCTACTATACCTGGAACCAAGGTCCTAGAATCCCAGATTCAGTGCGCTTTCTACTGCATCAGTCTTCCAAACCTAGACTGCCTTTTTCAATTCGGCCCAATTTCTCGTCATTCAAACTTTGTCCTTGCTCCTGCCCTGACAAGAAAACAAGGGCACAAAAGGCAGGAAATAAGATCTATCTGTATCCTCTCTGCCCTAACTCCCTCTTTTTGTTTTAAGCAGTCTTGTGTTTAAGATTCGTAGGGTTTTCCTTTTCATAGGAAGCTCTACAGTGTCTAAAACGTCAGATTCTAATTTTGAAATTCTGAAGGTTCTAAACTCTCATTATTTTAAGATATAGGTCACTGGAATAATAACACCCTTCATCCTGGTTACCTGTCTGATATCAGGTAAGAATTAAGGTATTCCTGGGGAAGGGGGTGCAGGGTACAGCTCAATAGCAGAGCGCATGCTTAGGATGCACAAGGTCCTGGGTTCAATCCCCAGTACCTCCATTAAAAAAAAAAAAATGAAGGTATTCCCTTAGGATATTTCAGTTTATTTTCCAGAAACCATAAGTTTCTGCTTTTGGGGACCAGACATTCCAAACTATATACAAAAGGAAATGTTTCCTTACAAGTCATCTTCTGTTAGTTTTTGAAATCACAAGTTGCCAAGACAAATAGCATGCTGGGGTGTACTAACAAATCAATTTCTGGGATTAAGGCCATGTTATATGTCTCAGAAGTATCCAAACACTCTGACTCTTGATTTGAAAAGTGTACATTTGGAACAGATGTTGGGATCCATGCAAGTGCCTCAAATCTTTGTGTTTTATTTGTAATGTAATGGTTCCATGGTAACTAATACGATGTTAATAAACTTTGTTTTTGAAGTTAATTGCTACAGGCTAACTTCTCCAAAATAATTATAACCAAAGATAATGATATTACAATTATGTATAAGAAGTAAGACTTTGTTAAGAACTCAACTACTATCTTGAAATATCTTAGTCACTTTGAAAGTGAGCAGTAGTTTTAAATTTGTGGTAAACATTTTAGCAAATTGCTGTTTTAGAAATCTGATCATTTGGTTAAGTGCATAGGGCTCCATTAAAACCAGGATTGGAGGCTAAGTCTCTAGGTCTCTGACCCCAACCAGCCTATTCATAGCTGCTGGCATTTCAAGTGGAACCAGGGGACAGAATTTGTCTGGACCACTTTACATCCTTCACTACTTTATGGAAAATGCCTCACAGTATCATCTTCATGTATAAATGTGTATCATCTTTGCTCTGGTGCTGGATTAGATAATATGCTTTTATATTTTCTGGAAGGAAATGCTTTATTCTAGTCCTGGAAACTAAAATCTCATCTTTTTAAATGTATGATACATAAAGTATTTATGAAGTTGTGAGTATGCATGTAATCTGTTAATCTTCATAAACCAAAATTCTTTGAAATTGCCATTAAGAAAGATCTGATCTTGTCAGACACAGAGAACTTCTGAAACAACTTCCAGACAAATTATTAGATATGACACGGAATAAAAGTGACAGTGATGACTCCCTGACTTTGGTTTTATTTTTCAGATGAAAGAAATAACCTACCTAACAAAGTAGTTGTGAGAGTTTAAAGAACATAAAAATATGCTTTATAAATTCTAAAATGTAATAGAAATGCTATCACTTTTGTACATTTCACTGACTAAATAGTAGCTGTAATGCTGGAAACAGACCTGACAACATGTATGTCAGGACTTGAGAAGATAACGGAAATTTCGTAAGTAAATAATTGTTCTCCTTAACAATTAAAACACCCTAGGAGCAAGCAGCACATTAAGTAAAGATATTTATATAAGTTTAAAAAAACCTTCTATATGTGTCTTCTGAACATGAGGTACTCTTTGAGATTAATCAAGTATTATTGAAACATTACCTAATTAATCCTATAGATTTCTTAAAATATAGTTTTCTCTGGTTGTAGTGGTAGTAATCCATAAAGTCAGAATTGCACAATTATGAGTGTCTACTCTGCACCACCATATAAGGTTCTGGGGTACAAAGTGAATGAGACATGACACTCCTGGAGCTTATATTCAGAAAATATAAATTGGTAAGCCATCGCATAATAAGGAAAAGCATCCAGGAAACATAAATTTTCTACTTCTGTATGGCCCTTTATAATTTACAAAGGTTTACTTCACCATAGTTTATTTGCTCTTCACAACAACCTTGGGCAGTTAAGGAAACCGGGACTCAGGAGTCATCCAATTAGTAAATATTGGGGCTAGAATTCAAATCAAAACCAGTGCTCTTAAGACTGCACAGAATGGCGGAATAGAATGACCCTGAGCTTACTTCCTCTCACAGGCACACCAAAACCACAACTATTTGCAGAACAACCATCAATGAGAAGGACCAGAGCCTACCAGGAAAGACCTTCTACAGCGAAAGGTATAAGGAAAGAACTACGCTGAGCAGACCAGGAGGGGCAGAGTCACGGTGCAGTCGAATTCCATTCCCCAGGGTGGTGATCCATAAACAGGAAAATAATCACAATTACACAGATTCCCCCAAAGGAATGAGAGGTCTAAGCCCCACATTGGGCTCCCCAACCTGGGGGTCCTGCACCAGAAAGAAGAGCCCCCAGAGCATTTGGCTTTGAAGGCCAGCACGGCTTACTTTCAGGAGTCTCAGAGGGTTGGGGGAAATAAAGACTTCACTCAAGGTCACACACAAAATCTGACACATTCTAGGACCCAGGGCAGAAGCAGTAATTTGAGAGGAGCTTGAGTCACACCTACCTGTTGATCTTGGAGTCTTCCGGAGAGCCAGGAGGCAACTGCAGCTCACTCTGGGAACATAAGCACTGGCGGCAGTCATTTGGGGGAACTCCTTCTATGACGTGGACACTGGTGCTGATAGGTGCCATTGTGGAATCCTCCCTCCAGCTGATTAGCCCCAGGACCCAGCTCTTCTCTTACCCAATAGTCTGCAGCCATCAGTGCTGGGATACCTCAGGCCAAACAACTAACTTGGTATGGATGTAGCCCCACCCACCAGCAGACAGACTGCCTTAAGACCCGCCTGAGCTCACAGCCCTCTCTGGACATACCGCTGCTCACCAGAGGGCCAGGACCTGGATCCGTGCACCAGTGAGCAGGCACTAGACCCAAGACCCCCAGGGCTCTCCAGCCAGTGACCCCAGGAACCACTTCCACCCACCAGTGGGTCAGCACCAGTCCCAGAATCCCCAGGGCCCAGGCTCTGCCCTGGAAACAAAGGTAGTTATCAAATTACAAGAGAACAAAAGAAGAACAAAAAATATCTATGAAACAACCCCAAAACAATTAATAAAATGGCAATAAGAACATACATCTCAATAATTACTTTAAATGTAAATGGAATGAGTTCTCCAAAATATATAAGGTGGCTGAATAGATTAAAAATTTAAACAAAATATATGCTGCCTACAAGAGACTCACTTCAGAGTTAAGGACACAGAGTAGAAGTGAGGGGATAGAAAAAGGTATTCCATGCAAATAGAATGAAAAGAAAGCCAGGGAAGCAATATTTATGTCAGACAAACTAGACTTTAAAATAAACAATGTTATTAGAGACAGAGAAGGACATTACATAATGACAAAGGGATCAATCCAAGAAGGTATAATTGTAAATATACATACACCTAACATAGGAACACCTAACTATGTAAAGCAAATATTAACAGACATAAAAGGAGAGAGCAACAGTGACACAATTATAGGAGGGGACTTTGACACCCCACTTAACGCTGATGCACAGATCATCTGGACAGAAAATTAATATGGAAACACAGGCTTTAAATGTCACATTAGGCCAGATGGACTTAATATATAGAACATTCCAGCAAAAAGCAGAATACATATAGATGTTGGAGAGTGGGAGGTACAAGCTACTGGGTATAAGAGGCCCAAGGATGTACTGTACATGGGGAACATAGCCATTATTTTGTAATAACTATATGGAAAGTAACATTTAAATAATTATAAAAATTGTTTTTAAGTTTAAATAAATTTTAAAAATAAAATATATATAGTATTCACAGGTAAAGACAGATAAATGTTGCTTTTAAAAAAAGCAGAATACATATTCTTTTTAAATGCACATGGAAGATTCTTCAGGATAGATTACATGCTAGGCCTTGAAACAAGCCTCAGTAAACCTGAACTGAAATCATATCAAGCGTTTTTTTCTGACTACAACACTATGTGACTAGAAATCAACTCCAAGAAAAAAACTGCAAAAAACACAAACACACGGGGGCTAAACAATACGACACTAAACAACTAATGGATCACTGAAGAAGTCAAAGAGGAAATCGAAAAACAACACCTGGGGACAAAGAAAAACGAAAGTACAACAATCCAAAATCTATGGGATGCAGAAAAAGTTCTAAGAGGGAAGTTTACAGCAATAAAAGCTTACCTCAAGAAACAAGAAAAATCACATATAAACAACTTAACCTTCCACCTAAAGGAACTAGAAAAAGAAGAAACAAAACCCAAAGTTAGTAGAAAGAAATCATAAAGACCAGAGCAGAAATAAAGACTGAAAAAACAATATAAAAGACGAATGAATTTTGAAGTGTTAGCTATTAGTTTTCATTCAACTATATGGTTAAAGAAAAAGCTCAAGGACTCTGATGGTATTACTTGTGCTGATTTACTTGTATTTTTTAGGTAGACTTTTGCTGAGTAATGAAATAAATTCTCCAAACCAGTTTTGATTCAGTTCTGTTTTACTTTTTTCTTTTTTTCTCAGCACCAGAAGCACTGCTGGTGTAATTCGTATTCCTTAGCTTGGGTTACTTAGAACTTCAGGTAATGGAACTTGGCGTTTGAAACTCGAAAGATAGATCATTTAAAAAGTTATATCTCACATTTTCAAAATACCTTAATAGTTCCTATTTCATCTATATTAATTGGATTTGAGGTAAACTTTTGATGACACTGAACAAAATGAAATGGAGAATATGGTGGACATAGTTAAAATAGATAGCCAGAGAAACCAACTTTGCAATCTGAGTAATATCTGATTTACTGGATGTTTACTGTCTAGTGGTCTTAATCTGGGGAACAAGAACTTGAGTGGGAAAAGAAACTGCACCCTTATGTTCACCAACCTCTATCAAAATGCAGATCTTTCAATAATGAATTCAGGCAACCAGCCACAGTAATGTTTTAACAATAGGGACTCTGTCACCAAAAGAAATCAGATTTTTTAATGTTACAATTGTTGCACATATCTAAAATTATTGTCAGTTGTCATCTCTAATCCAAAGTTACCACAATTACTACATTTACTGTTTCTTTTTGGTTTTCTATTTTAAGAAGTAGGAAGGTTCTTAAAGTAATCTGGTTTAAAAATTAAAGTTACTGCTTAGTAATGAAATTTATATTTTCTTATAATGACCCCATAAAGTTTAGTTTCTCTAATTCTTACTCTTCATTTTAGTGAGATATATTTCATATATAATCAAATATTTCAGCAATGCAGGTAGCAATCTTTATTGGGAAGAAGCTAGACTAAGTCATCTGAAGTTTGCAAAGAGACTGTTCTGTCTGCACACTTAAGCTTTCATTTTTTAAAAAAATTTAGAAGTAAAATAAGCAACATTAAAAGCAAAATAGAGAAGAGGGATCAAGATGGCATAGTAAGAGGATGTGGAGCTCATCTCCCCCCTACAAATATCAAAAATACATCTGTATGTGGAACAGATCTCACGAAAAACTAACTGGAAACTAGCAAAAGAAATCCTATACAACCAAGGCTGCAAGAAGGATACCCATGTAATTGGATAGGATGAGAAGGAAAACATAGTGTCAGGACCTGTGCCCCCGGAGGGGACTAAGGAAAAAGGAGATCACACAGGCAGACACTTGTCCTGGAACGTCAGCAGGTTAAGCCACAGACCCGGCGCCCCAGTCCTGGGATCCCACGTGGAGAAGACAAGCTTTCTTGGTTGCCTGGAGAAATGCTGGGACAGACAGAAAAGCTGGAGATGCCTAGATTCCACACATGAGGCGTGCACAGGTACCGGCTTGCCAACAGACAGGAAAGAGGTCTGCCTCAGGGACTGCCACCTCACCACACTCCCCAGCCCGGCTGAGTAAACATCCTGACCCCGCTTACCCAACACCGCAGTTTGGCGCAGAATCTAGGGCAACTGAGTCCTGGGAAAAGACTTAATCTCGGGATGCATAGGCGACACAGGGGCCTGGGTGTGGTCCAGGTCGGGCAGCAGCCATTGTTGGCACGTACTCAAACAGCATCCCAGAAGCAGCCTAGACTTCTGATGGCAGTGCAGCTCCTTGAATTCCCACAACCAACATGCCATGATCCCCGGTCCCAGCCGAGCAGACACTCCAGCCCCGCCCACTCTGCCACAACAGAGCACTAGAACAAGGATGGCTACAGCAGGGCAAAAGATGTGACCTTGGGCTGCATCTGAGTGGAGCCGCAGGTGCCTGCACAGGGAGTGAATCAGACTTCTGTAGGCACACGTGCCCCACTTATTTCAGTACTCCCCTCTTTTGGTGGCAAAGGCCCCCATGCAGAAAGAAGGAAAGACACACTTAAGGGAACAGAACCAGCTCAAGCCCAACCCTTGGGGCTTCCACTGTAGCAGCTGGGAGCAAACCCCATCCTGACAGGACAGTGATGCTACTGAGGAGAGAGAAAATCCCACTTCACATCCTACACAGGCTCTAGCTCCTCCAACACCACCACACCCGCTACCAGGGTGACAGTGACCAGCTCACACTGAGGAAAGAAAGGACAGGCATTCAGATCAAATTCAGCCTTCACGCCAAAGACATCGGGCACACGCGCAGTCTACGTGGGGATGCTCCCCCATAAAAACACCCCTTCAAGACCATAAGAAATAACTGTTCCACCTAAATTCATAGAGACAGAGAAAGCAAAGTAAAATGAAAGGCAGAGGGACTACACTCTACTGAAAAAGTAAGAGGAAAAAACCTCTGAAAAAATAAAGACACAGATAATCCGTTTACCAGACAATGTGTTCAAAACGTTTTAAATAAAAATGCTAATGAGGAAAGAGAATTCATCTAAGCGTGGATCATTTTAACAAGGAACTAGAAACTATAAAGACCCAAAATATACAAAGAGCACATACAACTCAATACCAAAAAAAACAATCTAATCAAAAAACGAGCAGAAGACTTGACATTTTTCCAAAGACATACAGATGCCTAGCAGGCACATGAAAAAGATGCTCAACATCGCTAATTATTAGGGAAATGCAAATCAAAACCAAATGAGGTATCACCTCATACCTGTCAGAATGGCTATCATCAAAATGTTAACAAATGTTGGAGAGGGTGTGCAGAAAAGGGAACTTTCCTACATTGTTGGTGGAAATGTAAAATTGATGAAGCCACTAAGGAAAACCATATGGTGGTTCCTTAAAAAGCTAAAAATAGAACTACCATATGACCTAGCAATTCTACTCCTGGGTATTAGAAAACAAAGAAAGAAAGAAAATACTAATTCAAAAAGATAAATGCACTGCAATGTTCATAGCAGCACTGTTTACAATAGCCAAGATATGGAAGCAGCCCAAGTGCCCATCACAGATGACTGGATTAAGAAGATGTTAAGTACATATACAACGGAATGTACATTACCATATATCACCATATCTGTAACCATACAAAAGAATGAAATACTGCCATTTGTAGCAGCATGGATGGACCTGGAGAATATTAAACTTAGTGAAATAAGTCAAAGACAAATACTATGGTATCACTTATATCTGGAATCTAAAAAACAATACAAATGAATGTATATGCAAAACAAAAACACAGAGAAAAACTTGGGGTTACCAAAGGGGAGAGTTGAAGTGACAGATTAGGGGAATGGGATTAACAGGTACAAACTACTATACACGAAACAGAAAAGCAACAAGGCTAGACTCTATAGCATAGGGATTATACCCATTATCTTGAAATAACCTATAACGGAGTATAAGCTGCAATTTAGCTCTTCAAAGGAGTATTTTTCAAAACTGTAAGTGATGACTTATATATGACATAGAAATCAGCAATAATAGAGTAATAAATAATCTGAAGAATCAGTAGTTTGAATTTTCTTGCCTCCTTTAAATGATTTACTATATTTTTCTACCTTTTATCTCCTGTAAGTTATGTATTTGACCTGATTAAGTTTTTTAAAAAAAAGAACATGGGGCATATTTGTGTATGTATCGTAGGTCTGTTGTGTTTTCATCAGGGTCCTCTTTTAAGCTATCAAAGTCCAAATAACTCGTGTTATGTTTAACAAATACTCTTTCATGGTTTGAAAAGTGTTTCATTTTCTACATGTGTCTAATGTTTAAGGTGGATGTTAACTCTGGGGACAGTGACATCTGTCTTATAAAATAAGTTATCTGAGACAATTGCAGAACACATTTCACATCGCTTTCCTCCTACAGAGCAGCTGCTATTTGGGAACTCAGAAGTGAAAAGAAATAGATGCAAATCGATGTAATTTAGGTTAACAACTCTGGTTTCTCAGTTTAATTGAATCTACTTCAGTTAATTTCCCGTTTCTCATTGACCTTACAGGGAAATAATCAGGCTTCACACAATATAAACTTGTGTAAAATCCACAGCTTTGGTGAAACAGGTTGTGCAAAGTATTCGTGCTGAAAACTGTGTGAAAAACATAGACATAGATTACGTCAAGAGTTCTGGGGAGGAGTGCTGTTACTTCATCACAGACTTCTGTCACATACTAGGTATTTTTCCACCCGAACGCTTCCTGTCTTGTGTTTACTGCAGCTGAATCCACAAGCCTCTCTTTTCTTACGTCACATGAGTGCCGTGCTTCACATTTTCTTCTTTTTAATGGGAAAGACTCTGAGGATGTCTCTTCTTTCTGAGTAAAGATGGCTGTAGGTAAAATACATACCTAAGGTAGAGAAGGAAGTGGCAAAAGTAAGACTGGCGAACCATTCCTCTGGAAAGAACCATGGGTTTAAAATACAGAGTGCTGCCTGCAGTCCAGGGACAGGGAACTTGCAAGGGAGACTTGAAGAAGGATTATTTAAAGAGTGTCCAGATTTTCTGCAGAAGTGGAAGTAAAGTGAACTCCTCTACCTTACTGTTTTGTTTACTGCAAAGAAGGAGCTTTCCCCTTTCTTTATGGTAGCTCTCTCCATTTCCCCTGAAGTTCTACATTGGTCTTCTGGTTTATGTGTTGTTCCTATGTATCTGATGCTTGTTACCTTCTAAAGGTAATAATTATCTTAGGGATTTGTGAAGGTTAGAGCTGGAGCAATTAAAATTTAACAGAAGTCTTTTTCCAAATTTCCTGGACAGATTAATTGAGCAAATTTTCTCAACTGTTAAGTTTTTGTTCCATATGTTTTTCTTGAGTCTTTAGCACTCCCAGTTGCCTGCTAGGAAATGCTAGCACATAAGGCCAACAAACAGGAAACAAAACAGATAGCAATGGGAAAACGAGAAATAGCCAAGCTTACTTAGTTTGACATCTGTATTTTCTTCGTGTTCTTTGTGTTTACTTGTGTTTGTGGTGAAAACTTCTGTATTTCATACACAAAGCAGCTACATTTTCTGCTAGTAAAACTGTTCCTGTTCAGACAGTGCAAAGAGTGATATATCTGATCTCGTGATGTCCTGCAAAAAGCACTGTAATTTGTAAATGCTTTACTAACAAGATCTAGTTCATCGTGTCAGCCTTCCTCTTCAAATTTCCCATGTTTATAGCCCTTTCTATTAAGGTAGATGGCAGCACAACTCAGAAAGCACAGGAAGCATGCAAAAGCAAAACAAAAAAGCCACTTACCTATAAAAAGCATCATCAGATACATTTTCAGCACATATGGGAAATAGATGAGTAGGTCAAAGGGCAGCTTTGTGGAGTATGTGCCAAATGATTCAAAATAAGGCAGTGACTGATAGATGGCAAATGCTGTTTAAAGAAAATAGAATCATGAAGGTTCCCCTCCTACATGGACGTGTATATATGTCTGCACGGTTAAAGAATATCCTGAATTTAAAAATGACAATTTTGTGATAACTGCTGAATCCTTTTGCCAAAGCTACAGTTTGATATAGAAATCTGCTTAATGATCAGATTGGCAAGGTCATTATAGCAGTATGATTTGCTGAATTTTTGTCCATATTTTACTTTATTAGGCCTACATAGGTTACAGTGTTCCTTTTTTATTGAAGTATAGTTGATATTATGTAAGTTCCAGGTGTACAACATAGTGATTTGCAATTTCTAAAGGTTATACTCCATTTATAATTATAAAATACTGGCTATATTTACATTCCCTGTGCTGTACAATATATCCTTGAAGCTTATTTATTTTAAACATAGTCATTTGTACCTAAAATGTACCTCAAAATACCTGTCCCCTTAGCTACAAATAGTTGAATAATATGGAAAATGCTCCATGTATTTCCCTCTTGGAGCTTTATAACACACATTGGTAGAGATTTAGGAAAGTTCTGCAATAAAGAAACTAGTTTCACTCAATGTTTCCTCCTCCCTGTCCCCAGCAGTACTTAATAAAAAAAAATAAAAATTCTGAGGAATGCTGTGAGAAATGCTGACCCAAATTATTCTGAGGGAGAAAGCTGGTGTCAGATAAAACAACGGATGTTTTATGAAACTGTACCCCGTGTGTAGATTTTTGACAACATTTCATGGAATGAAATGTTAATCTAGTGTGGTTATGTAAGATGTTAATGTTACGGTAAGTTGGGTGAAGGGTAGCTGGAAATGATGCACTATTTTTTATAACTTCTTGTATCTAAAATTATTTTTTTTTAGTTTCTTTTTTTAAGAAGACAGGAAAAGTCAGGTGCCCACAGCTGCTGGAGCCAGACAGTGGCAATGGCACAGAGTCTGTAATTGACACCAAAGCATGCCATCTAAGATTTCCATGGGCAGCACCTAAGTCTCTGGCATTTTATCAGTATAGTTGACTTGATTATTAATATGAACTTGATTTTTCTCTTAAATTATTCAATGGGAAACTATAGTTATTAAAAGATTTTAGAATTATCAGAAGTTAAGTAGGTTTTCTTAACTACATGTTTTTATTCTTTGGGATACTTGAAATACATAGAAACATATAAAGATAAAATTACAGTCACCTATATTCTACCACTCAGAATTAATCATCATTGACATTTTGTTATATATGCTGTCAAAATTTTCCTGCATTTGCTTTGTTTTTTAATTGCAAGTTTATGAATCTAATTTTAATAAAAGAATATGCATTTTATGACAACCATAGAGAAACACAGCTCTCCTAAAAAGGAGAAGGATTATAATTATGGAATAAAAAGAAAGGTTTCCTATATATTTATTCACCCTTTATTTTTAGGAAAATGTTAGTCCTATTTCTTCTTTATTCCTTTACATACTCTTTATAGTATTTTTCATAGTATATAACAAATTAATGTATTTAATAAATAAATCTTTCAATGAGTGAGGGGTTTGGTTCTCAAAGAAATGGGTAATCCATTTTTTATGGTTTTCAAGATTATTCTCTAGATTCTTTTGGCATAGTCTGTTTCAAAATTTAATAATTCTTCCTTCTGAAAACAAAACAGATTTTAAAACTATACCTAATCTGATTTACTGTAATATAAGCTCCTTTTCTCTGGTAGATAGAAAACATATGGTTGTATCATATATACCTTCCAATTATTGCCAACATCACCATCACTTTACGTTAAATTTGTTTCTGTATGTTTTCCCTTAGTTACCTTAACATGTGCTCTCTTAATTTATTTATGCCTTGGTTTTTCCAAAACTTTTATCATGTCTGTTTCAGAGTTCCCTACCAGTCTGCCAAATCCATTAGGGAAGGAAGCATATACTCCCCAAATATCCTCAAGCTCTTTGCAAATTTGATGGTTTTAATTATTTGAGTTTAAGCTTTAGGTTTACAGTTAGGCTAGTAATTAGCCTACTTCATGTTGTATTTAATAATTCATTCAGTACTTATTTAGCATATATACTGGGTGCAAAAGATAAAGAAAGGAAGAAACAAAGACAACCCCATAGACCCATAGAGCTAGACAGGGAAATAGACATTATCCAAGAATCACACGAATGTCTAATTATAAGTAAGACAGGTCTTACAAAAGAGATTCATGGTGCTATACTAGGGGGAATTGATATAGACAAGGAAACTGAGGAATGCTTTCCTGAGAAACTGACAATAGATATAAGGTAGAGTTAACTGTCACTGGCCGAGACTGGGTTAATTTCTATGGATTAAAAATAATCACTGAATCACTAAATGTTAAACCCCTTTAGGATAAGTAAACAGACTTAGAAAGGTTAAATGATTTACCCAAAATTCATGCAGTGAGTTAATGAATTTAAGGGCCAGTACTCAGATGTCTTCATTCCTCATCCAATATTTTGTCTACTATGCAGAGCTGCTTCCCCTTCTAACTTTGCTTTTTAATGCCTTGCTTCTTTGCATCAAGTATGCCAGGAAAGATAACACTGAGTCAGCTGAAGAGTAGCAAAAATAGTAATTTAATCATCAAAAAGTTTCATGAACCACTATAACTAGATTGCTTTTGTCAGTAAGAAAAACAGCAAGTCACTCTTTTCTTACCTTCAGCGAGAACACACAAAGGATAAATTGGCATCCACAGAGTTTGACTGAGCCATGTCAAGACAGCATAGGAAATTCCTATGACTGATAACATGCTGTAGGTGTACCTGAAAGGAGGTAAGTTTGCTCATAAACATCACTTGCTCCTGATGTCTGGGGAATAACAGAAGAAAATACCTTGCTGTGTAATTAAATACACAGATAAAACTGGAAAGTATGCAAATTCCTTACTTTATTTCCTATAATGTAAGCAGGAGGAGAGGTAAAAAATGGAGGAAGAGGAACCATGTCAGTTTAGCTTGTCTCACAGGGTGCATCACGGATAATTGTGGAGGTGCAGAAAAAAAAAAATGTAACCCTTATTCCCCAGCAAATTACAGTTGCAAGTTTTCTAGATTAGTGACTTCAGTTTCACTCAGAAGTCAAGCCCATTTTCTGCAACAGGTAAGTTTTTTAAGACAGACATACCTGTAAATATCTAGGAAATGAATTTTAAAAATAAAACGTGCCATTTTGTGTGATTAATAAGAGTATTGGCCTTAGGAGCTTGTTTTGGGAACAGTAGGTCGTCTTAAATCTGCCTTTGTGATGTAACAGCTGAGGCAGTCAACACCTTTTTATTTCTCTGACTAGGCGGTGGTTCTCAAGCTTAGGTATACATCAGAACCACTCAGAGGGCTTGCTAAAGCACGAATTGCTACACCCTATCCCCAGAGTGTCAGACTCAGTGGACCTGAGAATTTGCATTACAAACAAGTTCCACGTGATGCTGCTGCCACTGGTCCAGAGGCCACACTTCGAACTACCAGAATAGGCAGTACATACATATGGCAAAACAAAATCCAAAGCCCTGAAAACACAAATGCAGAAAAGTAAATCTTTCATCCAGGACCCTAATTCCACTCCTCAGAGGCAATGGCCAGTACAAATTTCTTATGTATTCTTTCTAAAATATTCTTGCATATGCTTGTGTCTGTGTGTATATACTATATATACTATATATCAACAATGCAAGTACTCACCAAACGTGGCATGTTACCAAACTTTTTGTACTTTACTAATGTAAGTGAAAAATGGTATTTCACTACTTTACTTTGACTTTTTTTTCTTATTACAAGAGTAGGTAAGCATCTTTTCATATGTTTAAAAATCACTTTTGATGAAGTCCAATGTGTCTTATTTTGTTGTTGCTTGTGCTTTAGGTATTAAATCTAAAAGTCTTATTGTCAAATCCAAGATCACAGAGATGTACCCCTATGTTTTCTTCTAAGAGTTATATAATTGTAGCTCTTAAATTTAGGTTTTTGATCTATTTTAAACTAACTTTTGTATATGATAAGGGTCCAACTTCATTCTTTTGTATGTGGATATCCAGTTGTCCCAGCACCATTCATTTAAAAGACCATTTTCCCCTACTGAATGGCCTTGGCATCGTGTCAAAAATCAGTTGACATAAATATGAGAGTTTATCTTTGAATTATCAATTCTATTCCATGATATATCATTATGTCCATATCACACGCTTGGTTTTTGTTGCTTTGTAGTAAGTTTTGAAACTGGGCAGTGTGACTCTTCCAACTATGCTCCTCTTCTTTAAGATTGTTTTAGCTACCCTGGGTTCCTTGAGTTTCCATTTGAGTTTCTGGGTCAGCTTCTCAAATTCTGCAAAGAAGTTAGCTAAGATTCTGATAGGGATACACTGAATCTGTAGATCAATTTGAGGAGTACTCCATCTTAATAACATTAAGTCTTTAACCCATAAACATGGGATATCTTTCCATTTAATTTTATCTTCTTTAATTTCCCAGAAAATGTTTTACAGTTTTCAGTGTATAAGTTCTGCACATCTTTTGTTAAATTTAAGTCTAAGTACTTTATTTTTGTGATGCTGTGGTACACAGAATTGTTTTCTTGATATTATTTTAGGATAGGCCACTGTAAATGTGTGGAATACAAGTAATTTTGGTACAGCTGACCCTTGAACAACACGAGTTTGAAATGTGCGGGCCCACTTATATGCAGATTTTTTTCAATAGTAAATACTATAGTACTACACTATCTGGGGTTGGTTGAATATAGATGCAGAACAGTAGATACAGAGGAACTATGTGTATGAAGAGTATGAAGGGCCAACTATAAGCTATATATAAATTTTCAACTGCATGGAAGGTCAGCGCCTCTAATGCCCATGCTGTTCAAGGGTCAACAGTTTATTACTTTTGTGTTCTACAATACAAACTGAACTAGCGTATTCTAATATTCTTTAGTGAATTCCTTAAGATTTTTTATACACAAGATCATGTCACCTACCAACAAAAGTAACTGTACCCCATCCTTTCCAATGTAGATGCCTTTTACATCATTTTCTTGCCTAACTTCCATGGCTAGAAAATCCAGTACAATGTTGAATAGAAGTGGCAAGAGTGGACATTGTTGTTTTGTTCCTGCTCTTTGGAGGAAAGATCAGTCCTTCACCATTAACCATCACATTAACTGTGGAGTTTTCATAGATGCTTTTATCAGGCTGAGGAATTTGCTTTTAAAAAAGTTATTCTAGGCTAAATGAGGGAAGATAATTCTACCCTCATTTCACAGAGGAAAAAAATGAGTTTCAAAAAGGTTAAGTATTTAGGAATTTTACTCCTAAGCTAAGAGATATGAAAATCTATTTGCACACGAAAGCTTGTACATAGGTATTCATAGCACTGTTCTTCATGACCAAGAGGTAGAAACAACCCAAATGTCCACCAACTGATAAATGAATAAATTAAAATTGGTGTATCAATATAACAGAATACTATTCAACCATAAAAAGGAATAAAGTACTGATACTTGTTCCAGCATGGCTAAACCTTGAAAATATTATGCTAGGTTAAAAAAAAGTCAGTCATAAAAAGCCACATGGTGTATGATTCCATTTCTACGGAATGTCCAGAATAGGCAAATCCATTCAGACACTATGTTAGTGGTTGCCAGGGGCGGGGAAGAGGAGAGAATGGGGAGTGACGGCTAATGCATGCGAGGCTTCTTTTGGGAGTAATAAAAAATGTTCTCAAATTAGACAGTAGTGATGGTTACATGTGTCTTTGAATACACAAAGACCCACACTTTTATACTTTAAAAGGGTAAATATTAAGGTACACAAATTACCGCATTTTTTAAGGTTATGTTATTTGCCCAAGATCATATAGCAGGTAAGTAGTGGCGGTGAAGTTCAACCTGAGGTCTACTTCTATGTCCAAAATTGTCTTTCCATGACATCATGACACCATTCTCAGTGCCAAAGCCACTTTGCTAATAGGTCTGCTGAGCTTATCTGAGGCTGAATCGACACTGAAGGAGTCAGACATACCAGAGAATAAAACATTAGAAGGCCACAGTCCCAAATAAAGCTCCACGTCTTGTAAACAGGAAGTCATAGGTTACGAAAGTCCCTGAAGTTTGCCCCAAGCCCACAAAACTTTCAGTTAAAAATGAGAAATAACTAAGTTATATGTACAAAGAATTATAGTCATTTTAATTCAACAAAATATTTTATTCTAATTCACTCTAGGGCTCAACTCATTATTTAGAATATCTTAACTCAACTAAATTATTTACAGTACAGTAAATAAAGAATTTATATAACCTCAGCTGAAACGCTAGGGCTTTACCTATCCACATCCTGACCTTTCACGCAGGAGGGGCAGTTCTCATTTGTGAGAGCTGAAGCAAGTTTCGAAGTCTCCCCCAAGTGAGCCACTGAGCAAAGGGGGCTTTTACACCACTGCTGGTAGGGATAAAAAGAGATAAGACTAGGCTCATCTTGTTGCAAAGTTTTAGAATTAGGAGGAAACATAAGACAATCTAGAGCAACAGTTCTTAACCTGAGGCCCAAAGATTCCCAGTGAGTCCGTGAGTCCCAGGAAAGAACTCCAGTTATTTGAACCCACGAGAATTGTATACAAAAATGTTTATGGAGATGCATTTTTTTTTCCCAGAGAGATGAGGCCCTATATTTAAAATATTCTTGAATTCACAGAAACCAACTTTGTAAATTCTGACCATGATATAACAAAAGTCTTGCTTTGCTTATTAAAGTAACATGTACCAGAGCAACTGCAAGGAATGCCTTTCATTAGCAAATAGCTGTGAGGTTTATTCCAAATTGGTGTTTTGCCAAGACTTCTGCTGGGAACCTGAATGCACTGATTTGCTCTTGTAATACCACAGTAGGTTTTCATTATCTTTGATATGCCCATTGTGAAAAGCACTAAAAATACATTTTCATATCAAGATAAAATAATTTGAAAAAGGGGTTATGTTTTTCTCTCTCATTCAGAGTAACCAAATGTAAGCAGCTATTACTGGTTTCACTGTAGAAGCAATTCGGCTTTGTTTTAGATTATTTTGCCTCCTTACCTTACCATATCCAATAGATTCCAAAAAATGAATAGAACACACACCACATATTTCTCTTGGACTTCCTCTTGACTGGTGATCACCACAAAGAGGATGATTATTCTTTCAGTGAGCTAACAAAGAAATAGCAAAGTCAAGAATTAGGATCCTCTGTTAAGCATGGAGGTAATTTTCTAATTTTAAAAACCAGAGTTCCTCTTAAACGTATGCTTTAACTATATATATACTAAACAGTCAACATGATCTCTGAGGGAGTAGGGTTACGGGTGAATTTCGCTTCCTTTTTGCTTTTCTGTATTCTCCAAATTATACACAATGAATAAAAGGATAACATACTTTATCTCAATCAGAACATGTCCCTTCTTGTGACATATGCACACGTTTTTACTCATTTTGACAAGCCTTTATGGAGTGTCCACTATGTATTAGACGCTAAGATTATATATATAATGAAAGCATGGTCCTTGCTACAGAGGGTAGCAGTAGTAGGAAAATGTGAGGCAGTAACTCTAACACAGAGTGAATAATGCTGTCATTTAAAGGGTTATGTATGGAAGCACAGATGAGGGAGATACTTGTCTGGGGAAAAGATGCAGAGAGATTTATGGAGACAGGCAACATTTCAGATGGATCTTGAAAAATGGACAGAGGTTTCTCAGGAAGACTGGCTAGATGAACGGGCATCCTAGGTCAAAGGAGCAGCCCGAGCAAAGAGGCAAAGGTGTGAAAATGCAGGGTGTGCTGGGGAGTCCCGAGAGCCCCTGGGGGCTTGAGTCGGGGTGCACAGAAGGAAATCACAGAAGATAAAAGTGAAAATGTGTTGGGGACTGGGCTGCTAAGTTTTAAATGACAGGGCAAGAAATTTCTACTTCATCCAACAGGAAAGCCATCGTAGTTTTTTGGGGGGTTTGCGGGGAGGAGGATGGGGGAATAGGGGAGGAAGGGAAGACAAATAACATAATCCTAAACCCTCATAAGCTAATGGAAAGAATCAACAGATTCATTTTTTTCCAAGTTAATAAGCATTTTCAAATCATTGAGAATGCACACAACTACGGCTTAGCTCCAATTATTGACCTCAAAATATACATTCCTCTTTCCAACCTAAATATAATGTGCTTTCTTACGTTGTATTGATATACTTGGTACATTCTGCATTTTTTTCTTTAATAGAACATTTTACTTTCCTCACAAGAGTCAAAGGAAAATATATTTGAGATTGAGGGAGCATATTAGTGATAAAGGAAAGAGGAGGACTGCTTTATATTTTTTAAAAGCTGTCTTTATTTTTAAAGCGGAAGAAAAAGACTGGGATAACCTATGACTTAGAATCACAGGCTGCTAGTCCTAGAAAATCACCGAGTGCCGAGAAATCCAAGATTTGCCAATATTGGGCCACATGATCAGAAATCTGCACATGGAAGATGTATCAGCGTGTCTATAACCACACTGGTGAGTCAAGAGGGTCCTTGCTTGGCTAAGGAAATTAGATATGATTCAAATCTTAGTTAGTCAATGGAAGCTACCTCCCTAGCTCTTTTTCTTTTCTGAATCTTTGTTTACAATGCCCTAGTTTCTTGATTTAATTTAGTTATATTTATATAATGAATTAGACTTAACTGCAGTGATAATTACTGAATGATCCAAGTTTGCTGTCGTGACACCCAGCGGCCTTCAGATATAAGATCTTAGCAGCAAACAAGTACTTAGGCACAGCCTAATCTCACATTTAATCAGTGCCTGCTAATAAGGAAAATGATCTCATTTTTGACAAAAATCTCAAGAGATACACACATGATGCATACACACAACACATATTTCTGATTACATGGTTGACTACTGAAAGAGAAAACAAGCTACCTTTTGCTAAGATGGATCTCTAGGGGCCCCTCTAGATACTTGCCCAACCCCACCTTTTTACAAATAAGGCAACTGGGAACCAGGGACATTGACTTGCCCAAACTAGTGGCAGACCTGGAAACATATATATCATAAGTCTCCTGGTTTCCAGAGCTGTAAACAATCCCTGATGTCAGACTGCCCCTTAACTGATGAGTCTGGAGGGAAGAATCTGCTAAAAGAGAGAGACTGGAGCTACACACTTAAACTGTAGAAAATCAACACTTGAGGGACTATGGCACGTTAGTGATGGAATCCCAATTGCATATGAGTCAGCAATCAGCATGACCCTCCAAGACACAACCATATACATACATGAGGGTATGTGAAGACCCTCACTTCCATACAATATCAGACTAATTAACAAATTATCTGATTGTTAATTCTAACTTGACCATTCAGTGGCAATACAAAGGGAGAATTTAGGTGGAGATATTCTTAAATTAGTAAAAAGCCAATATTTATTGGTTACTTTGTGCCAGGTTCCAAACATATGCCATCTCATTTAATCTCCATAATGACCCTAAAAAGTAAGTGCTATTGTTATTATCTGCTTTTTACAAAGGACACTGTATTTTACAAAGTTAGTGACTTGCCTACAGATATGGAACCAAAATACAGACAATGTGATTCTAAATCCCTTGTTCTGAAACACTAAGATATTTTTCACCTTTGCTGTTTTATGGGCTACACCTTCACCTAATACCCAGGTTACAGTTTATTCTCTAAAAAAAAAAAAAGCCTTTCCTCAGAAGTTAGATCTTAAAACAAGAGCCTCCTTGATTTTCTAAATTAACACCAAAACAATTCTGAAGAACAGACTTTTAAAATTTATTACTTCTCTTTACATATAATATTTTGACCAGTTATTTGGAGTTTTACACTTAGGAAAACTTAGCACTTTATCATTTTAAACAAATCTTATGAGAATGTGACAATTACTAATGAGTGATCTTGTTTAGTGTAACTCAAACAGGCAGATTTAAAGCACAGCAAAAAAAAACCCCTATAACTTAGGCCAAATTAAACATGGTGGTAATGTGGTCAACACAAAAATATGGTAACTATAAAATAAAAATATTTTGCATTTTTATATTCTATTTGGGATCCTGAACTCAAGATTAAGCAATGACTAAAACTAAGTTACTACTTTATAAATGGCAGCTAGCAAAATTAGTTTTAAATTACTGAAGGGGTAATATCATACTTCAACCATAGAGAGAATTTCTAGAATCTTAAAAATAAATTAGTTTTAGCCCCAAAGACTATTATATTACCAAAAGGATATCCCAAACTATTTTAATCCTGTGAAATTTCGTTGAGAACTTCAGAAACATACCGTTATATATTCAAAAATCAATTACTTTCTTCTGTAAGACAAAGCATTTAAATAATTCTGTATTTTCATTTATTTATTCATCAATCAATACCTATCTATTGAGTTCACTATTCTGAATCCTGGGGGGGATACAACCCTGTGAACAAGACCAAGTCCCAGCCCTCATGGTATTTTTATCCTAGTTGGTGAGATAGACAGTAAACAAATGTAGCATAATAGTTGGGAGTTCAGGACAAATAGCCCAAATCAAAATTTCTGTTCCATCATTTACAATTTACATGACCTTTAACTTTTACGTAAATACACTGGAGATAAAAATAAATTCGGTGTAGGGATTAATATATTTATAGAAATACAGAGATTAGTACATTTATAGAAAAATACATTTTTCTACATAGATAATCAAGACTGCTAGTGAATAAAAAAGTTAATCTCAGCATCTTTAAAATTATACTGTGGATATAGCTCTGCAACTATCACACTGAAGAACTCCACTGATCAAATGCAAAAAAAAAAAGGTAGAAAAATCTGAAATCTTCACTACAGAGTGAATTGTGTATGTAATTCCTTCCCAGGAGGCATCAAAGTTTTGAGACTCTCACAGCACAACACTATCCCCAGTACAGTTTTATTTCTAACAATATAAACCTATTCTCAACTTAAAACTGGAGAAAAAAAGCTGTATGATTTTATGGCAAAAGCAAGGTAATTTAATGCAAAGAAGCACCTGCTTCACAGGTAAAAAGAAATTAGGGTGAAACTTGGCTGTTTTCCTAAAAGATTTTATTTTGAGACTCTCTCCTTGGGGATTTCCTTCATATCTGTTCACATAAGAATCTGTGACTGGGAAATCTTTAGAGTCATTTTTGGCAAACATACTCCTGCTTGTCCTTATCAGAAATAGGTGGTGATACTGGTAAAAATTTAAATGGTTCTTGCAATTTGGGCTCACAAATGGAATTTCTGTAGGCATGATAATTGGGAAGTAGTAATTCCCAGGGTTTTGATTTACAGATTTTAAAAACTGTAAAATCAATACATGTGCAGCAGTGTTTACAGCAAAAGTAAGGATGCAGAATTTAGCCATTTTAATTCAGTTATATATAAAGTCTTTGCATTTCAAGCATTTCTCAAAAGGCAAAGGAGTAAACTGGGTAACTCTGAGAGTTTCTTAAAGGCACATCAGCCTAATGTCATGATACAAAGGCTAGTTTTGTAGGTATTTCCCCGCTCCTTGAGTTGAATCATCCTAAAGCCGTATCGATAGAAACCTCTTTCTCAGGCTTCCATACAAGCGAAGTCAGAACAAAGCCCTTCAAAATCAGTATTTTAGGGTTGGTAGTATTTCTGCTCCATAAAAGCCAAGTTGTTTTGATTAAATATACTGAAATAAACTAGCTTCTTTTTTTCAATCAAGCTAATAAAATATGCAAGCTCATTTGGGAGCAAAGGATTATAGATGCCCAGTTTTCACTTATATTATCACTTTTAATAATAGTTATATGCTGCTTTTGAACCCTTTTTACTTTCCCATTTTATAAATTAAAAATATCAAAAGTTTACTTTACTTATATAATTTTAATTAGCATGTAATTATTTCCCAAAATAGATATCTGTAAACAACTGTTACAGATTTGCCCTTTACCCCTTACGTGCATTTTTAAAAAAATACATAAACTATACACTGCTGTATTAAATTATTATAGTCTTACTGTCAATGGGTTCCCCCCTTTTCCCTTTAGCAATTGTGTGTAATTTTAGAAAATTATAATGGCTTTTCCATAGCTGTCAAAATAAAGATGTGTATAAAACATTTAACAATGTACAGAATAAAACAGAGAAAACAAATAAACCCCCTTTATCATATGCACCAAGTGATACATGTAATTCTAATTGCTCAACCAGATAACCATTCCTACTGCTTTTTGGAATTACTTATCTTGGTATTTTTGAAGACTAGTTCCCAAAAAGAGAATTCTGTTGTGACTTAGCAGTTTCACAAAGGTAATGTCAAAACAACATCACAAATGTACAGATGTTTTTCAACCCACTTGAAAGCAGCTAGACACCATGTATTTTTCAAGATATTGTATGCAGTCAGCTATGATTACTGTGTGAGCAGTTTAGCCACATTCTCAACTATATCGTTTCTTCACTTAAAAAATGGGGAAACAGGAAAACCAAGAATGATTACACAACCTTAGAGTTTTGTTTGGTTATTTTAAAGCAGGGGCCTCAGAGTCATCTCATAATGAGGGAATTCTAATTGTCTGCAGAACTCTAATAATGGAACAGGGGAGAAAATGAAACTTTAAACCTTTGCAGCTGTTTTTGAAGTTTTCTCCAATACCATGTCCACTCTGAAAACCACAGAAAAGCAGTAAATGAACAAGAGAAAGAGAGGACAGATAAAAATCTCAAAGAAATAAAAAGAGAAAGCCAAACAATCACAACAAAAATTAATAATAATCAGCCCAGGATGAGAATGGTAACTGTCTTCCTTACTGTGATCCCTGACTTGTTATTTCTCCCAACAATAAAGCCTTAAAAATCAGAGCTCCATCAACAGCAGACTTTGCAACCTCACCTTTGAATAAAAAGTGTCAATGTATACTCACCATTATTTTTCAATTACCAAACCAGGACATAATTTATTACAGTGATCATGATTCTGTAAGCCACTACAGTTTCAAGTAATAATGATTAAAATCACACTTAAGTATTCTGGAATTTCTGGAACTCCAAGAAATCAGATTTCTAAGTTGTATAACAATTTATATTATTGGGCAAACCTCATAATTTTGGAAGCATTAAAAAAATGTGTACATTTTCTAGGCATCTTCAAGGTGCTCTATCTTCTTACAGATTTACCTGTCCTGTTTCTCATTTGCATTCCCTACACTGGCAATAACTAAATTAATACCACTCTTAACTTTGAGACTTCTATTTTACCATGAAATCAGCATTAGCCTAAAAAAGTAAAAGTCCAAAAGATATATACTGAAAGAAAACACAAGCAATTCTCCAAGGAAGACATACAAATGATCAACATCACTAATTATCAGAGAAATGCAAATCCAAACTACAATGAGGTATC